CCCCCCCCCCCCAGTCTTGTTAAATAAAGAGAGTTTCTATTTTTGAACACACGTGTCCTTTATTTTTTACATCAGGAAGGGGGCTAGGGAGGAGTAAGTAGAAGGAGGTGAGGGAGGAATGGGGTATGAGCCCCCGATGGGGAGGACTGGGGTGGCTCTGTGGGCACCTCGGGGTAGAAGCTCTCCTGCAGGGCCTCCCGGATCCCCCGATTGACACCCCCCTCCCCCAGATGGCAGCCTGCGGCAAGTGCAGCTGGGCTGATGGCCTAGTGCTGTGATGTGCTGAGTGCAGGCACTCAGGGCACTCCAAGACAGGACTGCTTTGCTGTCCCTCATCGAGGTAGACAAGCAAGCGGGGAACTGTCTGACCGGGGTGGGGCTCGGGTCCCTTTAAGCCCTCGGCTAGCCTGAGGCAGCAGCTCCACACTCTAAGTCCTGGTTCTGGCCAGCCTTAACTTCGGTTCAGGGTCCACTCAATGTGGACATGCTATTTCGAATTAGCAAAACGCTAATTCGAATTAGTTTTTAGGTCTAGATGCACTCATTTGAATTAGAGAGACTTAATAAAATTAATGTAGAAAATGTGATTGTATTTCATATTTGTCTGTAGTAATTCTGTAAATCTCTTTTGTCTGTGTTCTTGTAGTCTCTGGGTACTGAAGTAGCTGAAATGAGAAAAAGGCAACAGTCACAAAATGAAGGAACATCTGCTGTGTCTCAAGCACCTGGAAACCAAAGGCCCAACAACACATGTTGCTTTTGTTGGTGCTGTTGTTGCAGCTGCTCATGGTATGTCCTGTAATGTACTTGGTATCATATCGAGCACAGGTAAACAATGAAAACTGCCAGTTGCTGGGAATGTAAGGAGTTCTCTGAGAGTCACACTGCTGAAAGTCACACTTTGTTTCTACATAAGAATTTTACCAAATACTTTTCTGCTCTTTCTGTACCTTTTGTGTAATGGATAAGGGAGCAGGCCTGGAAAATATGACTTTAATTTTGGCCCCTTTCTAAAGTTACCACTATAAAATGGGGAAGTAGCAGGTGTAAAACTCACATAGGCAGATCTTGAAAATGCCGTAATTTTATATTTAAGACATTCTTTGTTTCAGTCTGTATTTTTAGTGTTTAAAGGGTTCCTTCCAAACTCTAAGAAATGTTTCAACATACTTTATCTTTGCATTCATTGGGAGGTAAATGGACAGAAATGAGAACTATATATTGATGTAGCTATTTAGTTGTTGAATAAATAAACTGTTAACTAAATTCTGCAATCTAAGAGCATAAAAAATCTATTTCTGCTATGATCTTTTAACAAGCAAAAAGCACTATTTTAGTGGGGAAAGTCATTACTACTCAGCTCTTGCTAATGGAGGAGTTAAATATGAAGTTTTGTTTCAAAATAACTTCAAATTAATCATTTCTCTAAGATGTATGTCAGAGATGTCTGTTGCCATAATATAGAAGGCTCCAACTTATATACAGTACATGCTTAATTTTACACATATGGCTAGTCCTAAAGTAGCATAAAGCTTCTTGCAGAATTGTTCAGGGCCTATCTATGCATGCTTATTACATAGCAAAAATATAATCAGCTGAGTCTTTTTTGGAATATCCATTCTGTGTACATCAGTCCGATTTTACACTTGTTAGCCATCTGCTCCTTTTCCTGCATCTAAAAATGCACTTCAGAGGATACCAAACATCCCAATGGAACAGTCTCTTCTAAACCCCTTCCCTGCCATGTCCTCCTCTTTGCACGGGAGCAGTAGCAGAATGGCACAAACTTCCAGCTTTCACAGAAGCAGAAGATCCCTGAGAGCAAGAAAGAGTGAGTGAGGACATGCTATTAGGAAGCTATCTTGGTTCATGCTATAGACTAACTCCATACAACAGAGTGTGTGGAAGGGTCTTAAATGTGAAAACAAACACTGTGCTGCTTCTGCTCTCCTCTGGCCTGTGTAAAGAGTATGCAGGGCCATAATGATCAATTTATGGATCTTGAAAGTCTGCACTGGGATAAATAGTTGAATAATCAGTTCTTCTCACACATTCTTAGAGCTGTTTCCCTTGGAGGGCACTCAGGATGGTATGCACTTCCCATACTTTTGAATAGCTTGTGCACAGTCCGTCTGGATACGATTCAACGTTGCATTAAAAAGTGGAGTGTACTCTCAACCACTTTTGTAAAACTATTTATTTTTGATGATATCCTGACTTTTTTTCTTAATATGGACTTGATGGTACATGAAGAACCCTGTCAGGGTAAGCCTATTTTCTGTCTTAGAAGTAAAGTCTAATAGACTAGTCTGAGAGATGTAATGGAAATGCCATTGCTTGTGACTCTTAAAATTAAACTGTACAAAACTGGAAAATATAATGGCAAAAATAGATTTTGCGCTGGAAAAATGATGACCTAATGAGCCGCCGACCTCTAACTTCTGATTTCTGTGATTAAAGCGTGGGGAAGATTGGTGGGGGGAAAGGGCCAAGTTGAGAGAGAGTTATTACTGACAGGTAATTTTGGCCCATTTAGAACTTGAATAAAAATGAAATATTTATTTTGGTGTGGAATTTGTCATGTGAGCTTGTTTACAAGGAGTAAGCATGCTACTTTCTTTCCCTCATTCACTTTCTCTAATGGTGTTTATATACAAAAAAATCTGCACGAGAAGCCTAACATGCTGATTATTGTTATAGGCAAGAAGTTACCTGAAGCCATGTTGTGCAGGAAGTCATATTAGATTGTCATAACAGACTCTGCTGGCCTTAAATCTACCTATACTCTCCCCAGTTCTATTGGGAGTATTCTGAATCTTACCAAATGCCTTTATGGAGGCATTGTCGGGTTCATTACTGGTGACAATGCTCTAACAGAGCCTGCCAGCACCTACACTATTGACTATTTCTAGCTCTGGCCAGCACTATGTGTGACATTAGACAAGCCAGGTCACGTGCTCTCTCTGTGCCTCAATCTCCTTGCTATTAAAAATAAATATAATGCTTGCCTGCCTCAGAGCAAGACTTGTGCAGCTTACACTAAATGCTTTCACGTTTGTCAATAACAACACTGTATCTGTTCAAGGTGCTAGTTCATTAGCTGACAACTCTGGACAAGTCATTACAGTTCTAAAAATATCCTAGCAAGTCATGTGATATTTCAGTTTTCTTTCATTCCACCCAGTGTTAACATCAAATGAGGATTAAGACTCTGTTTACATAGCAACTTAGTCAAATACCCACACCTTTGTTTGTGGAAATAATATCTTTCCTAATAGAGAACTTGTTGCCAGCATTAGGTCTTTGTTCAGAAAGCTATTTCATGTACCTTATTAGAATGATTAGCTATTAATGTGCAGTCTATCTTTCGGGTTATATTTTTTAAACTATTTATTTTTAAAATAAGTGACATCAGTTAATTTTGAAAGCTCTTTCCAGTAGCACTGGAGGTCTAGTGATAGTAAACGTGCTCCATTTAGAAGGACAAAACAGTGCTGGGTCTCAGTGCTGTTAGAGAAAGAGGGGGAGAGAAATGGTCCCTTTCCATTAATCATTTTGCTACAGGTAAAAGCACATTAATTGATTGCAAAACTAAAATGGACCATTGTGATCATCTCATCTGGCCTCCTATACAGCACAGGTGATAGAAGTGCCCCAAAATAATTTCTTTTGAACTAGAATATCTCTTTAAAAAAAGGAATCTGGGGTTGATTTGAAAATTGCTGGTAATGTAGAAAGTACCACAGCCTTTGGTGAAGACTTCCAGGCTGTGTCTACACTGGCCCCTTCTCCGGAAGAGGCATGCTAATTTCTAACTTTGGAATAGGGAAATCCGCGGGGGATTTAAATATCCCCCAGGGGATTTAAATAAAGATGGCCGCCGCTTTTTTTCCGGCTTGGGGAAAAGCCGGAAAAGAGCGTCCAGACTGGCGTGATCCTCCGGAATAAAGCCCTTTTCTGGAGGATCTCTTATTCCTACTTTCAAGCACCAGTCTGGATGCTCTTTTCCGGCTTTTCCCCAAGCCGGAAAGTTAGAAATTAGCATGCCTCTTCCAGAGAAGGGGCCAGTGTAGACGTAGCCCCAGTGGTTAATTATTCTCACTGTTAAAAATTCACGTTTTTATTTCCAGTCTGGATTTGTTTAGTTCCAGCTTCTAGCCATTGGATCATTGTACACCTGTCTCTATTAGAATGAAGAGCCCATCATTAAATAACCACCTATGGAGGTACTGGTAGACTGTAACCAAGTCATCCCTTAACCTTCTCTTTGTTAAGCTAAACAGAGTGAGCTCCTTGAATCTACCACTGTAAGGATATTTTCTAACCCTTTAGCATTCTCATGGCTCTTCTCAGAATCTTCTCTAACTTCAGTTCTCAATACCGGAAATGGACGTAGTATTCCAGCAGCAGCAGCACCAGTGCCAAATCGAGATAATCTGCTCCAATTTGCGATTCCCTTGCTTATGCATCCAAGGATTGCCTTAGCCCTTTTGGCCACAGTATCACACTAGGAGCTCATGTACAGCTGATTATTCATATGATCCTTTCAGTCAGTTTCCCAGAAAAAGTGTCCCTCATTATGTAAGTATGTCCTGTGTTTAGAAGCCTTTGAGGATACCCAAATGTGTATCTGTATTCAATCTGTGATCTGAAAAAATTATCTGCAGATTTCCAGGGCACTATACCAGGGGCCAGGCTGAGGCCCCAATCCCCTCCAGAACCTTGTCAGGGACACCTGCATGGGCAGCTGTGGGGAGCTGTCACAGAGTCATGGAGCCTGCACCTGTCTCTGCCCCATGAGGAGCTCTGGGGAGTGGGGACATGATTCGGAGCTGCTTTCAGACCCCTCCTCTCTTACACTGCAGGCAAGTGGAGGGTCCTTCCTGGTTCCCAGGCTGGACTTCACACTGGCCTGGCCAGTGAGGAGGGGCTGATCTGTGACGCTCCCTGGTAGCTGTTTGGGTCACTTCCCACCCAGGGAAGCTGTTTAGGTCACTTCCCACACTTGCTCAGGAGGAGCTGCACTGGCAGCTGTGGGAAACAGTGATGGACCCTCCACCTGCCCTGAGCAGGAGTCCTGAGCAAGCCACCACCCAGTGTCCTTGCTCCGAGCCTCTCTGTCCAGTTTCACTACTCCTCAGGCTCTCCGCCCAGGTCAGGTAGAGAATTCAGGCCAGTCTGCTCTTACCATAAGAATCCTGCATGGATACAAAAAAAAATTGTATCCACAGCTGCACTGCTGCCCACAGAAATGGCCCACAGATATAAAGTGGACATCTGCATATTTGCTGGACTCAAGCTAGGTTCTTTAATCCTAAATGGATACATTTACAGTTAGCCACATTCAGATGTGTAGTTTGCTTACATAGAGCTTACCATGCAATCCGGATCTCTCTATATCAGTGACCTGTCCTCTTGATTATTTGCCACTGCCCCAAATTTTGTGTCATCTGCAACCTTTATTAGTAGTGATTTTATGTTTTCTTCAAGGCCCTAGTAAAAATGTTAAATAACACAGGGCCAAGAACTCATCCCTGTGGGATACCACTAGAAATAAATCAATCTGATTATGATTCCCCATTTACAATTACATTTTGAGAGCTATGTGTTAGCCAATTTTTCATCTATGTGTCATGTTCATTTTGTATTTGTTTTAATTTGTCAATGAAAATGTGCAGTAACAAGTTACAGAAGTTTAAGTATATTATATCAACACTGTCACCTTTATTAACCAAACTTGTAATATCATAAAAAAGATCTATTTCCCATAAATCAGTGTTGATTGGCAT